CTAGGAATATAATAGTCAACATCCAGGGCCAGGGATATAGCTCAGTGGTACCACACCTGCTTCACAAGTGCAAGGTCCTGAGTTTGATCCCTGTACTACAAAAAAAGAAAAAAATCCCAGAAACCCAACAGAAGAACAAAATACCTCAAGCAGTTAAGAGAAAAGAAACAAATCACATACAAAGGAAACCCTATTAGAATCATAGCCAACTTCTCGACACTGTTGTACCCAGTGAGAAAGAACCAACCAGAGACCGATATTAAATCCACACAGGAGTTTATTACCGGCCGGGACCCAAGCCAAGCATCAGACTCGAGCCCTGACTGGGGGAAGATTCACATATTTTATACACCTTTGAGGCCAATAGTTTCTAGGCCCCCCTATGGGATAGAACTAGTAAAGCAAGCAAAAGGTACAGAAGCAGAACATCCTGCTGTTAGAACATTTGTAAAACAATAGTTGATTAATTGTTATTTCTAAAGAGACTTTCTAAGGGGAGGACGTTTTTAAGCTTCCTCCTTCTGAGTTCATCTAAAGGGCAGGCAGGTGGGTCAAGCAGCAATATGAAGTCTGTCTTGCTAACTAGGGTCCTTCAGACACAAACCCTCAAGTCAAGAAGAGCCTGTATTTCAAGACCTAAAATAAACCTCCAACCCAGATTGATGTACCCTGCAAAACTATCTTTGAAAATCGATGCAGAAATAAGATACTTTCATGACAAAGTGCACCTGAGAAACTTCATGAATACCAAACCAGCACTCAAAAAAATTTTAGACAATACCCTAGGAAAAGACAATGAGGATCACAACCCCACAAAGCCCAGCAGAATGAATTCATCAGGGAAGACAAGAAAGTAAATGCAAAGAGGGAGAATGCAACAATAAGAAAAAGCCCTGACAAGGATAAGTCAATACATATCAGTTATAACCATCAATGTTATGGTCTCAATTCACCAATCAAAAGAAACAGACTGGCAGAATGGGTCAAGAAGCAAGATCCAACAATATGACGCATACAAGAAACACACTTAATTCAAAAAGAAACCTGTAGACTGAAAGCTAAAAGGTAGAAAACAATACTCCATGCGACAGGAACATAAAAAAAGCAGGAGCAGCTATTCTACCGGCAGGTAAAATGGATTTCAAACCAACACTAATTAAGAGAGACAAAGAAGGCTTATACATCCTTGCAAAGGGAACAATCCAAGAGGAAGAGATGACAATCATAAATATCTATGAATTGAATACTAGTGCACCCAACTATATAAAACAAATACTAATGGACATGAAAAATCATATAATCACTAATACAATAGTAGTGGGGGACCTCAATACCCCACTGTCACAAATAGATCAACTAGACAAAAAATAAACAATGAAATACTAGACCCAACCAACCTCTTGAATAAATGGACTTAACAAACATTTACAGAATGTTCCATGCCAAAAAATCAGAATAAACATTCTTTTCAGCTGCACATGGGTCATTCTCCAAAATAGACCACATACTTACTCACAGAACATGTTTAAGTAAATGCAAAGGAATTGAAATTATCCCCTGTATATTATCAGATCATAGTGCATTGAAATTGGAGCTCAATAGCAAAAGAAACAACAAAAATTTCATAAACACATGGAAAATGAACAACACACTCCTGAACAACCAATGGGTCACAGAAGAAATTAAAGAAGACATCAGACACTTTCTATGGGACACAATGAAAGCAGTCTTATGAGGGAAATTCATAGCAGTGAATAGAGTGAGCTCAATTAAACAACCTGATGCTGAACCTCAAGCTTCTAGAAAAAGAAGAGCAGGACAAACCCAAAGCTCATACAAGGGAGGAAATTA